TGTTGGAACAGGAAGGGGCCATCCCCAAACTGTTCCCACAAAGTTGGGAGCATGAAATTGTCCAAAATGTCTTGGTATGCTGACGCCTTAAGAGTTCCCTTCACTGGAACTAGGGGGCCAAGCCCAACCCCTGAAAAACCACCCTGCAACATAATCCCCCCTCCACCAAACTTTACACTTGGCACAATACAGTCAGGCAAGTACCGTTCTTCTGGGAACCGCCAAGCCCAAACATGTCCATCGGATTGCCAGACAGAGAAGCATGATTGGTCACTGCAGAGAACATGTCTCCACTGCTCTAGAGTCCAGTGGTGGCGTGCTTTATGCCACGGCATCTGACGCTTTGCATTGCACTTGGTGATGTAAGTCTTAGATGCAGCTGCTCGGCCATGGAAACCCCATTCCATGAAGCTCTCTACGCATTGTTGTTGTGCTAATCTGAAGGCCACATGAAGTTTGGAGGTCTTTAGCTATTGACTCTGCAGACAGTTGGTGACTTCTGTGCGCTTCAGCATGCGCTGACCCCGCTCTGTCATTTTACGTGGCCTACCACTTGGTGGCTGAGTTACTGTTGTTCCCAGTTACTTCCACTTTGTTATAATCCCACTAACAGTTGAGCGTGGAATATTTAGTAGCCAGGAAATGTCACGGATGGACTTATTGCACAGGTGACAACCTATCACGGGACCACGCTTGGAGTCACTGAGCTCCTGAGAGCGACCCATTCTTTCACAAATGTTTGTAGAAGCAGTATGCATGCCTAGGTGATGATTTTATATACCTGGGGCCATGGAGGGGATTGGCACACCTGAATCCAATGATTTGGAGGGCGGGGACAATACTTTTGGCAATATAGTGTGGTGTGTGTGTATGTATATATAATTTTTTTTTTTTTTTTTTTTTTATACATACATTTTGTATGTATGCCCCATTGATTACAGCAGAAAAGCATCTTGATAATGGTGTGCAACTTCCTTATATTTACCTGTATGTGAAGCATTTATAAAAAAGAAAAGTGTGAATTCAGGTTTTAATTGGGTCCCTTATGCCGACAAGCGATGCTGAGCGCTGAGAAATTGCCGGGAATGGCCCCTCCATGTGTATCTCTCCTGTATATTAGAAATTAATGAGCTGCTTGCATATTTCATTTCTTTTTAGAGGCTGTAAGTGATGCACAGTTGTAATGCAGAGTCAATGAGCTCTGACAGCCCAGGGACTGAGTGCCAGGATCAGCCGGGACAGGGGTACCAGATAGACAGTGAGATGCTGCTCCCTAGTGGAGGAATCCTGTACTGTCAGCTGCACACCATGAAGACGATGAGCGCAGTGTAGAAATATCAGGGCAGGGAAGTGTAAAGTAGATGTTACCCCTAATTCATTGTGTATCATAAACAATTGTCATTTTATTCATTATAAAATACTGTTTTTTTTTTTTTTTTTTTGCTGCTGATCCCCTGCAGTATCTTAGCAGCCACTGCCTATGTACTTGCGATGTTTGTATGTTCTTTCTCAGGGAGGGTTTCCTGATGGTGACAACAGCGGACCCCATCTGTGTGATTGGTATTGAAACGCCTACTTGTAGGCTCCATGGGAAGGAGGGTGACAGTGCAGGAGCACAATTGGGAGACGGGGACAGAGCAATAAGAAGTGCCTGAACCTTCATGGCGGGATCACCGTCAATTATTTTCATAAAAGCTACAGATTTGCAAAAAAAGACAGAAAGTGACTTTACCAGGCCAAAGCTTATATGAAATGTGACATACTAGAGAAAGACGAGGACACGTGGGGTATTTGCCCCAGACCAGGGGTGAACTGACAACTCATGGGGCCCCCGGGCAATAGGGGATCATGGGGCCCCTGTGTCCTCACCCACACTCAAACCACATACAAAAAAGCCTATGAAAGCTACCAGGGGAATCTCATGGGGCCCCCTATTGATCCCAGGCCCTCGGGCAGTGCCTGAGTTCCCAAATGGTCAGTCTGCCCCTGCCCCAGACCCTACACTAACACAGGACTCCTATATCAGCCCCTGGAGTGCTGGGTAGACCGAAGACAGCTTGTTCTAAGGTCCCCCTAACTCTATAGTGAAGATCTAAAACAAAAGCTGTAACAAGTATACACAGGTGTCCTGGTACTTCACTTGCTGCATGCTTGTCTTAGACCCAAAAAAAGTATCCTGGGATTTCTTCTTTGGGGCAGGATCACCCCCTTTACGGCCTCTTTAGACTTCCATGGGAGCACCTGAGTGGAACATGTTTCTGCACCTAAGGCCTTGTTCACACCGGAGCAATTTGTCACACGGACAATGAGATATCATTTTTTTCTCTATGGGACCTGGTTGCATCTTATGGACTGTTCTGTGCTTAGGGCCAGGAGCGGACTGACAACTCATGGGGTCCCCGGGCAATAGGGGATCATGGGGCCCCTGTGTCCTCATCCACACTCAAACCACACCCAAAAAGGCCTATGAAAAAGCCTATGAAAGGTACCGGGGGCATCTCATGGGGCTCCCTACTGACCCCGGGCCCTCAGGCTGTGCCTGAGAGCCCAAATGGTCAGTCTGCCCCTGCTTGGGGCTTCAATGTACAGGTGCTCTTTGGGGCAGGATCACCCCTTTTAATGGCCTCTTTAGACTTCCATGGGAGCACCTGAGTGGAACACATTTCTGTACCTAAGGCCTTGTTCACACCGGAGCGATTTGTCGCCCGGACAATGAGATATCGATTTTTTTTTTTCTGTGGGACCTGGTTGCATCTTATGCACTGTTCAGTTGCTTGGGGTGTCAATGTATAGGTGCTGTTTGGGGCAAGATCACCCCCTTCATGGCCTCTTTTAGTCTTCCATGGGAGCACCTGAGTGGAATACGTTTCTGTACCTAAAGCCTTGTTCACACCGGAGCGATTTGTAACTTCAATGAAAACAACTCAACCTTCCAATTTCCATTCAATGGTGACCATTTTGTCCAAAAACACAAAAAAAAATGTTCAAAAATAGTTCCATTGTAAATAGTGCCTAATACATGGTGACCACGGTGAAATCTGGGGGCACCCTACTGACCACGCCAGGGGTGGACTGACCATTTGGGGCCCCCGGGGTCAGTAGGGGGCCCCATGAAATGCTTCTGGTACCATTTTCATAGGCTTTTTTGAGTTTGGGCAAGGACATGGGCCCCATGATCCCCTATTGCCCGGGGGGGGCCCCATAAGTTGTCAGTCTACCCCTGGACCACGCCCACTTTTATTGGGGTGGGGCAAAGCAAGGGGTGGGGATAATAGCCAAATGCTGGGCGTGGCTGAACTGTGCTAACAGTGGAAGGGGCTTAAAGGGATGTGGCTTAATCATAACTGAGCCTACTTTGCTCTGGGTGCAGGTCCAGGCCTACGTCGTAGACAAGGGCAAGGCGGCCAATAATCTCCATCCTTTCCTCCAGCAACAAAGTCTGCAGCCAAGATGGGAGGGGCTAGGAAGACCATAGAATATCGGCAGGTGACATCATCAATAACCCCGAGAGCAGACGCCCCCCTCCCTCCTCCTGCTCCAAGCCAATCAGAATGTTCCTAAGATGGATGACCCTGAAACCACCTGGGCCAGGGAAGCCATTATAAAAGCTGTCAAGAAATTGGGGACGCATTCTTGAAATCAGGGACAGCCCCCTAAAATCGGGGACGTCTGATCACCCTAGCCTAAAGGCCAGTTTCCTCCACCCAGTGGCCTACTTTCTCTTGGCCTAAACAAAAAAAACATACGTTAACAAAAAAAAAAAAATCTTCAAAAATGTGAAGAAGGCAACACTCCAGTATGCACCGAGCCCAAAGGCCCATTCAGACAAGTAAGAGAAGTAGGCGCCATGATGGTCAAGGTGTTGGTGGTGGACAATTCAGTGGTTTGGATTGCCTCTATATAAAGTGTTACTAAACCCACAACAGTACAATCAGTCTGTATATGCAGGGAAGCATGCTTGTTATACTCACTGTGGGACCTAAGGGGTTGATCCTCTGCATTGTGTAAAAAGGCTGTTTGATCCTGTCTTTTCTGATATTCCACTGTCCTCAAACCATCTCCTGATAGAACAGAGCCTTGGGGGCAAGCTGCACATGCTCACTTTGGTGTATATTGCTAGAGCGTTTTTTTTTATTTTTCTTGGGAGAGTGCATGTAACCAGCACCAGGCCAATCAGCACTGTCCAGACAGAGGGTCAGGGGTCCTGCATCCTCCTAAAGGAGAATGAAAACTCCTCCTACAAGATTTAACCAGTGTTCAGCTGGACACTGATAGAAGTTACAAGACTGCTGTATACTGCTGATGAGAAAAGGTATTTAGCAGTTTATATTTACTAAAATACAGTAATTGCATTTCCAAGTTCTGTGTACTGTGGGAGACCAGATATAGTGAATGCAGGGTCCGGGGAGAGCGGATATAGTGAGTGCGGTGTCCGGGGAGGCCAGATATAGTGAATGCAGGGTCCGGGGAGACCAGATGTAGTGAATGCAGGGTCCGGGGAGACCAGATATAGTGAGTGCAGGGACCGGGGAGACCAGATATAGTGAATGCAGGGTCCGGGGAGAGCGGATATAGTGAATGCAGGGTCCGGGGAGAGTGGATATAGTGAATGCAGGGTCCGGGGAAACCAGATATAGTGAATGCAGGGTCCGGGGAGATCGGATATAGTGAATGCAGGGTCCGGGGAGACCGGATATAGTGAATTCAGGGTCCTGGGAGACCAGATATAGTGAATGCAGGGTACGGGGAGACCAGATATAGTGAATGCAGGGTCTGGGGAGACCAGATATAGTGAATGCAGGGTCCGGGGAGACCAGATATAGTGAATGCAGGATCTGGGGAGACCAGATATAGTGAATGCGGGGTCCAGGGAGACCAGATATAGTGAATGCAGGGTCAGGGGAGACTAGATATAGTGAATGCAGGGTCCGGGGAGACCAGATATAGTGAATGCAGGGTCCGGGGAGAGCGGATATAGTGAGTGCAGGGTCCTGGGAGACCGGATATAGTGAATGCAGGGTCTGGGGAGAGCGGATATAGTGAATGCAGGGTCCGGGGAGACCAGATATAGTGAATGCAGGGTCTGGGGAGAGCGGATATAGTGAATGCAGGGTCTGGGGAGACCAGATATAGTGAATGCAGGGTCTGGGGAGAGCGGATATAGTGAATGCAGGGTCCTGGGAGACCAGATATAGTGAATGCAGGGTCCTGGGGGGAGACCAGATATAGTGAATGCAGGGTCCTGGGAGACCAGATATAGTGAATGCAGGGTTCTGGGAGACCGGATATAGTGAATGCAGGGTCCGGGGAGACAAGATATAGTGAATGCAGGGTCCTGGGAGACCAGATATAGTGAATGCAGGGTCTGGGGAGAGTGGATATAGTGAATGCAGGGTCCGGGGAGACCAGATAGATATAGTGAATGCAGGGTCTGGGGAGAGCAGATATAGTGAATGCAGGGTCCGGGGAGACCAGATATAATGAATGCAGGGTCGGGGAGACCAGATATAGTGAATGCAGGGTCCGGGGAGACCAGATATAGTGAATGCAGGGTCCGGGGAGACCAGATATAGTGAATGTAGGGTCCTGGGAGACCAGATATAGTGAATGCAGGGTCCGGGGAGACCAGATATAATGAATGCAGGGTCTGGGGAGACCAGATATAGTGAATGCAGGGTCCTGGGAGACCGGATATAGTGAATGCAGGGTCTGGGGAGAGCGGATATAGTGAATGCAGGGTCTGGGGAGAGCGGATATAGTGAATGCAGGGTCCGGGGTTTAGTAACCCTTTGAGAGGAAATGGAACTTGCAAAGCTATGGAATTTTATTTCTATCTCCCAGGTGCCAGCACCATATTAATCTGGCATCATGTGCAGCCAGGGGCTCCTATGAGAATGGAGTGAGGCAGTGGCGTCCCTAGGCAGGTGCGGGGGGTGCGCCCTGCACCGGGTGACACCTACCGCACGGGGTGACACAGGACCCTCTCCACAAAAAGGTAAGTTGTAAAGCAAGCCAACGATCCCCGCAGGATGGATCAGATCTGCAGATTGAGCATAATGGATCAGACTCCATTTTGCTCCCCAGTCCGCAGAGCGGGTCCGGTGTTACCCCGTATAGGTTGCACGCCGATGATCCCCGCAGGATGGATCGGATCTGCGGATTGGGGAGCATAATGGATCAGAGTCTGATCCATTATGCTCAGTCCGCAGATCTGATCCATTCTGCGGAGATCGTCAGAGGGGTGACACCAAGTATTATCGCACCGGGTGACACCAACCCTAGGGACGCCCCTGGAGTGAGGTCACATGTCAGCACAGGGCCAGCATCTTGTCAGACCCCGCTCTATGACTGTTGGTTTCTAACATGTCCTCCTATCCCTCTGGTTCTATCCTAGTTCTGCTTAGACATGCCTTCATCATACTTCTCCTAAATCTACTCTCTGCAGTGCCCCGACTCTTTACAAGCAGTATTCGGCCCAGGGGCGGACTGACAACTCATGGGGCCCCCAGGCAATAGGGGATCATGGGGCCCCTAGGCAATAGGGGATCATGGGGCCCCTGTGTCCTTGCCCAAACTCAAAAGAGTCTATGGAAAAGGTACAGGGGGCATCTCATGGGGCCCCCTACTGACCCTGGGCCCTCGGGCAGTGCCGAGTTTCCAAATGGTCAGTCCGCCCCTGATTCGGCCTCATCTACACATGAACTCACTTAGTTGTTAAACTCTCCTGGCAGCAGAAAAACGCTGAACGCGGCAAAAGCGTGGGGAAATGTGTTTTACCTGCATTTAGGATTTTCCCTTGACATGGATAAACATGGTTAGCGTTTAGCCGCATTTTACACGTGATTTTGCCGCGTTTAGCGTTTTTTGGCCAAAATGTTCCTCTCCTGAACACGATTATTCTGCCTTCAGAAGAGGAACATTTAACTGCCCCTGAACTCTGGTAAAAGCCCGTGTGGACATGGACACGTAGGCTTTTATTGAGTTAGGTTTGGCAAAAAAAAACACCAAAAACTCCTAAACTCATGTTAAGGAGCAGCAGTGTACACGAGGCCTCAAACCCAAAAGCAAACATTTATTGTACTGCAGCTTACCAATTCTTAGATGTGGTGGCTGCATTAGTTTTCTTTTTGGGCTTTCTTTCTCCTATTTTCATCTGGTGATCCAGCTAGTAAGTCTGTTGTTTTTCAAAAGCATGAGCTCTCCAGCAGATGTATCTGTTACAGAGATGAGACAAATCATTTTACCACTAGCAGGGGTGCTTGCAATGATCAGCTTTTATTTATTCATGTAAAATGTTTATCCCAAAAGAACAAAAAAAAACGGTTTGCTGTAACTGATCCTAACGTATTATCTGGAATTTGTTGGAGTTGTTAGTGTATCTAAATCTGCTGGTACATCTAACACTCCCCAACTCCCCAGAATGGCAATTCTGCTGTCCAAAGGTGCCCCCTGTGCTCCTTCATCCAGAGTGGGGGCGCTCAAATACAGGGAGGTGAGGTACTGGCCAGATCACCAGGTAAAAAAGACCATTAATACCCCGGTCACACCGATCTGACTTTGAACTCGTGCAAATGGAATGACATCTGACTTTGAAACTTCACAGAAAGTCGGACGATTTCAAAGTCGGATCGGTGTGACCGGGGTGTAATACCACCTTGCGTTTTTACCTGTTGATCCTGCCAGTCCTCCCGTTGTCCTCATTTCCTGCCTTTGGCCAGCAACCCTTTAGTCCATCTGCTGAATTTGCAGCATTCTCAGCCCATCGCATTTGTGTTTGCCTGGTTGGCTCGTTGGGGACTACATCAGATCTTAGGGGCACCACTGGGGCCTGCCCACCACCCAGACATACAGAAGAGCGTGTATGGGATCTGGGGCTGCTGTTAGAAACCACGGGGCCCCATGTAGCCAACCAGACAGGACCCCATTCAAAAAACAAAAAACACAGTTTACTATGCTTCAGTTATGAATGCACACAGTGAGTGATCAGTACCAATCACTCATTGGGTTAATTCAGGAAAGGAAGGGGCTGGCTAATGACATATTTGTGACTTATTTATCAGACCCTTCCCCCACTCTCCATCCTGAAGGATCCTATTGTGTGCTTGCAACTGCTGCCGGGGAGGAGGGAAGCCGGTATTATGGGGGCCCAGGCAGCTAGGTGAATCAGATGTGTACAGGCAGGGTGATCGGCATGATGGTTGGGTGGGGGGACAATTACTTGAACTGATCCCCTGCAGCAGCTGAAATCCAGCAGGAGGAGAAGAATCCAGCTTTCAGAGCCATACAGGGGATCGGTTCCAGTAATTGCCCCCCACCGTGCCGATCACCCTCCCTGCCCACATCCAATTCACCAGCTGCCTGGGCCCCGTATAGGAGGACTGATGGTACCCCCCCTTATCCATTGCCCTGATGGGATCACTGATCATGTGACCAAAATTTGACTACAGGCATTTATATAGTGCTTTACATATACTGTAAAGTCCTATCCCAAGGAGCTTACAATCTAAGGCCCCTACCTAGGGCCGGTGCACCCAGCACACACAGTGTTGTTCAGAGGCTGCACGTCCTCGGCGGGGAGCCCAGAGCAGGAGATCCTCCGGCTCCTTTTATGGGGAGAAGTCCCAAGTGTTGGATGGCTGTGATCTCATTCCATTCTAACAAACACTGGTGAGGTCAGCATGACTAGTACTCCTCTGCCCAGAGCTGTCCCCCCCACCCGACATGGGTCCCTGCTGTTGGCTGCCATGCCACCTCCTTCTATACACACAGCAATATGTTCCTGTGTCTCCTTTGTGTTATTAAAAAAAAAAAAAGAAAGAAAGAAAAAGACATCTGAATTTTTGTGTAATGTCACTTTGAGAGGTCTGATGATCCAGAGAATGGTGCTATCATCGTCCTTCTGTATACTACACACCCAGGGGAACGCAGTTCTGACTGACACCTCCAGCACTGAATGTATGCAATGGTAAGGGGCACTGGGGTGTGCTGGAGGGTCTGTTGATGCTGGCTCCTGAGGGATCTATTGTTGCTGGAGGGGATCTATTTTTTATGTGGGTCTACTGTTGCTGGTGGGGATCTATTATTAATGGCTGCTGGGAGATTTGTTGTTGCTGCTGTGGGTATTGTTCTTCGAGTGGATCTATTGTTACTGGAGGGGATCTATTTTGCATGGGGGTCTATTGTTTCTGGAGGAGACCTATGGATGCTAGTGGAGATCAACTGTAGAGGGAGGGGTCTATTGTTGCTGGCTCCTGGAGGGTTTATTGATGCTCGCTGCTGGAAGATCTGTTGCTGCTGCAAGAGGGGAGGGGGGGGGGGGGGGGGTAAGTGTTGTTGGGGTGGATCTATTGTTACTGTAGGGGATCTATTTTTGCATGGGGGTCTATTGTTTCTGGAGGAGACCTATGGATGCTAGTGGAGATCGACTGTAGAGGGAGGGGTCTATTGTTGCTGGCTCCTGGAGGGTTTATTGATGCTGGCTGCTGGAAGATCTGTTGCTGCTGCCGGAGGGGAGGGGGGGTTAGTGTTGTTGGGGTAAATCTATTGTTGCTGTAGGGGATCTATTTTTGCATGGGGGTCTATTGTTTCTGGAGGGGACCTATGGATGCTGGTGGAGATCAACTGTAGAGGGAGGGGTCTATTGTTGCTGGCTCCTAGAGGGTTTACTGATGCTGGCTCCTGGGAGATCCATTGTTGCTGCCGTGGGGTTATTGTTGGGGTGGATCTATTATTACTGGGGAGGTCTATTGTTGCTGTAGATAATCTATTTTTGCATGGGGGTCTATTGTTGCTGGTGAAGATCTACTGTAGAGGGAGGGCTCTATTGTTGCTGGCTGCTGGAGGGTTTATTGATGCTGGCTGCTGGGAGATCTGTTGTTGCTGCCAGGGGGTTAGTGTTGTTGGGGTGGATCTATTGTTGCTGGAGGGGATATATTTTTACGTGGGGTCTCTTGTTGCTGATGGGGGATCTATGGTTGTTGGGGATGTCAGTGGCACCAAATCAGTTCCACTCCAGTGTCAGAATGCCCAATGCAGTCCCTCTATAAGTCACTGATTGTCGCCATTACTAGTAAAAAAAATAAAAATTCCAGTATATATCCCACCATTTGTAGACGCTATAACTTTCGCGTAAACCAATTAATTTACACAGTATTGGGATTTTATTAAGCAAAGACAAGGAACAGAATACATTTTGGCCTAAATTTATGACGAAATTTGATTTTTTTTTTAAATTTTTATTTATTGGATATATTTAATAGCAAAAAGTCAAAAATACTGTTTTGGTGTTTTTTTTCAGAATTGTCGGTCTTTTTTTGTTTATAGCACAAAAAATAAGAAAAGATAAGACATATCGCGTGGAGTCACTCTGCACATGCTCAGTGTGTATTGCTAGAGAGAGGGTTTTTTTTTGGGGGGAGAGTGCATGTGATCGAGAGGGGGGGGAGGAGGGAGAGAGAGGGAGAGAGAGAGAGGGGGGAGAGAGGGAAGAGAGAGGGGGGAGAGGAGGGGGAGAGAGAGAGAAAAGAGAGAGAGAGAGGGGGGAGGAGGGGGAGGGAGAGAGAGAGGGAGGAGGGGGAGGGAAACGAGAGAGGGGGAGAGGGAGAGAGAGAGAGGGAGGGAGAGGGAGGAGGGGGGAAGAGAGAGAGAGGGAGAGGGAGGAGGGGGGAGAGAGAGAGAGAGAGAGAGGGGGAGAGAGAGAGGGTGAGATCTGTGCAAAGCACTGTGTAAATTGATGGTGCTATTTAAGTA